CTCAAGTTAGTAAAGAGTGACATCAATCATATTCTAACTACACCATATCAGTAACCTTAACATCTTAGTGGCATGTAAACCCTTTTTATAGTAAAATACACCCGATTTCGACCGGGAATCGGCTAAACATTTAGCTCTGATACCAATAAATGTAACACTCATTACTTGTATACGTTCTCGTACACGAATCACAGATGTCAAATAAGTTTTAAAAGCTTTCCTAACTTTTGAAAACTCATTTTCTTCAATCTCTAATAACTCATTTATCTCTAAATTTTAATCCTCTTTAAGCCTTCCTTAAGCTTCTACATCACTTAAGGTTTCAAAACCAAACCAAAAACAAAAGGAAAAAATAACTAGTTAAAGCATTACCTTTGCTATGGGGGCTCAGGATGTGAGGAAGAAGAAGAGGAGATAACTAACAGAACTTATCCCCTTATTCTCCTATTCACTTATTTAAATAACCCAATTAAATGAATATTAAATTTATTCCCTTTAAATGTCTAAATTGCCCCTTTATTCTTTTATTCTTATTAATAAGTCTCAAACACAATTTCCTAAATCATTTCTTGTACTTTACCATTTATTTAGTTAAATCCTCCACATTTTAAATCCTTTCATTATGGTCATTGACCCAATATTTGGGGTATTACAAAAACTCATAGGTTCTTTCACTTTGTTTTTACCCAACATCTCAATTTATTATTTTTACCTAGATAAATTTTACCTACTCTAATTATTGTTAGTTATTTTGTTTGATAGTTAAAAAAATATGAATACACAGGGGAAAACATTGGTAATTACCTACACTTTTATTTAAACACAAAAATGCCGTTTTAATATTGTTTTTAAATTATATATATATCTGTTTAATAAAAATCAAAATTGCAAACTAATTTTTAATTTGATCTTCTTAACAAAATCAATCAATATAATACACTAAATATTTTCATTCCCTTCATCGATTTCATTATTTAGGCACAAATCAAGCTACCTAAATGGTTAAAAGGATGGTCGTTAGAGGTGAGCATTCGATCAAGTTAAGTCAAAAAATTTTGAGTTATTCGAGTTGACGAGTTCTATTTTACAACTTGGACTTGATGTAGACAATCATTTTTGACCGGGTTTTTATTTTATTTTATTATATATATATATATTAATATAATATAATTTTTGAAAATATTTTTGAAAAATATAATATATAATTTTTTAGAAAACGATTTTTGAAAACATATAATATACTGTTTAAAAATCGGTTTTTAAAAAAATATATATTATATAGCTTTGAAAATGATTTTAAAAAAAAATATATTATATAGTTTTCAAATGATTTTTGAAAAATATATATATAATATATAGTTTTTGAAAATATATATATAATATATAGTTTTTGAAAACATTTTAAAAACTTATATAATATATAGTTTTGAAATCATTTCGAAAACTTATATAATATATAGTTTTTAACATATATAATATACAATTTTAAAACATTTTTGAAAACTATATAGTTTTGAATTTTTTTTAAAAAAATATATAATATATAGTTTTAAAATATTTTTGAAAATATATATATTATATAGTTTATGGAAATATTTTATATATAATATATTATTATTATTATTTGTTTTTATTATTATTTTATTAACATTTGTTCTTTTTTTTATTATTTTTTAGGTCCAATGAGGGTCTATGACAGGGCCTGCCTGACCCAGCAGGCCAAGGACGGGTAAAGCCCAACAACCCGAGCCCAACTGCCTGACCCAGCAGTGGCTAGGATTACATCCTTTGCAGAGGCGACGCATGTGAGAGGCTCGAGGGGAGCGTGAGGACAACGAGCCAATCAAATCACGTGAAACTGCCGGCCGGGATCCCCGGGATTGAACCATCCCAGAGTGTTCGGCCAACTAATAACCCACAACTCCAAGATCATCGGGACCCAAACGACCCCTTCAAAGGCTATAAAAGGGAGCCTAATCGGAGATTCAAGAAGAACACAACAACAGAACCAAGATCGAGGAACAATAACATCGAACCACAGTGAAAACATAAATCGAAGAACCATTAACAACCAAACACGAGAGCAGACGACAACAAATATACTCAAAAAACACAATAACCAAGAACAAACCATAAAAAATCAAACCACATCACAAGGATACGAAGAAACCAATCGTCAGAAAAAATAAGTATTAACACTGGTGTTGGCTCGAGAAAAGAAACAACCACCGGAAGTTAAATCGTTCGCTGGGAAAGGTAAAAACCGAGAAACTAAAACCTAGATCTACGTCGATTTGTAGGGATTTTAGGTATTTGGGTTGTGGCTTTAGTTTTCTGGGGTTGAGGGCTTTCGAAAAGGGTGAGATGGTTTTTTCCAGCCGCCGCTCGAGGCGGTACAGGCGGAGGTTTGCCACTGGCGGGTAGCCGGAGGTCGGACGACTTAAGAAGGAAATAAGAGGATTTAAGAGAAGGGGTTTGTTTTTAGAAATGAGGTTAAAATGATTTTTTTTGGTTTAGGGGTATATATAGCCGAGGGACCTTGTTATAATTAGTTAATAGTTAAATTATTTCCGTAGTCCCTTATTTTTTAAGTGTAATTCATTTTGGTCACATGTTTCAATTTTGCCTATGAATTTTCAATTTATTCAATTAAATCCCTATTTATATTTTTTTATATTTTGTGAATTAACCCCCTAATTTTTTTCTCTTACAGTTCACTTTTAGCATTAATTTCAGTCTATAAATTCCAATTTAATTCAATTAGATCCTTTATTTATTTATTTATGTTTCGGTTTTTTGTTAATATTTATTTTCTTAACATTTTTCTATGTTTATTTTTTTATTTCAAAATTTAACCCTTTTTTATTTTTATTTCATTTTTATTTTTTATGTTCTTTATTTTTATCATTTTTCTTTTTACTCAATTTTATATATCTATTTATTTTATTATTATTATTATATTAATATTAATAGTTTTTCTTTTTTCATTTTTATTTTTTACATCTAACATTATTCTTGACTTTTTAGGGGAATTTTTAATTAATCGAAGGTAAGTAATTTGAATCGGGTTTTTAAATTTTAATTTTAAATTTTCACAATTAAGACAACCGAGAAATTAATTTGTACCAAAAGGGTAGTACAAAGGTGCTAATCATTCCTTGACTGCAACCGACTCCCGAACCCGACAGATTTCTGGTAAAACGCAGATAAGGTAAGATGGTGTCTCATTAGCCTAAATATTTTTTAAAATGATCGGTGGTGGCTCTAACACTTTTATTTCAAGTCGAAGCCCAATACCGGGCCCACCCGAAAGACAGTTGTGACTACTTGGAAACTATGCTGGGGACAGGTAAGTGAGTCAGGCAAGAATTACTTTTCGGTTATCTTTTTTAAGTGAAAATAATAAATTTTAATTTTAATTATCGATTCTTATTATTTATCTTTGATTATTTTTTTTCCAAATAAATAGTTGTACTAACGTTTTTCAATGGTTTCATATTTTTGAAAAAAGTTTACATCTTTGGCTCTATACCTGAGCTCCGAACCCTTTTTAAGTGGGGGTGAAAGCGACACCTTCGTGAAAATTTATTCTCTGCATGAGCCTAGCAAGTAACCTTCGGGATTCATATATCTTATGTCTTCATGTGAATTTATTCACCATGCGGACACATGGGAATGCATTCTCTTGAGTTTAACTTAGTCCACATAAGCTTGTAATGGGCTTAGGACTAAGGGTCTGGCAAGCCCAATGGGGAACCGATAAGGAGAACTCGGGTACCTTCTTTAGAACCTAAATGGGGAGGCTACAAGGAGTTAGAGCCCACCCAAAAACCTCATTTCAAACCCTAGGCTATCTTGATATCATTTCATGCCTTATTTTATGTTCAGAGCATGTGAACTAGAAATTTATGCGGTGAGGACTTGTTCAAAATCAACTTACGGGATATAAATAGTGTCCAGGTATGAATAATAAGCATGTGGGGTAGATATCATATGGGGTAGAATATTTTTTTCATCATTATTATGATTATTATCTTTATATCACTAACTTTTTTCCTTTCATTTTTGTCTTTTCTATTTTATTTTTTATCATTTATATCATCCAAAAGGGGTGTTGATCCATCAAAAACGTGTTCGTTAAACATAAATAATTTGCATTAATAGATAAAGGGGTTATAACACAAGAGATGAAAAGCTCAAAAGTCTGGTTATGGTCAAAAAAGACTCAGAATGGACAGGGTTTACACCAAGCACATCAAAAAAATGGGTTGGCAAAATTTGCAGGGGATGATGAGAAAAATGTTACTGACCTGAAGAGACCCTTCAAAGATAATAAGAACAAGATGGAAAAGCGTGGTTGAAACTGGAGGCAATAGTTGAGGAATTCAAGAAATAAGCAAATAAACTTCGAATAGTTCTTATCAATGGAGGGCTCCAATGGTGTTTCCGTTAGGGAATAGACTCACCAGAGAGTGAAAACTAGAGATGTAGCCATTCGAGACTTCTAGGGACAAGTACAAAAGGTAGCTCAGAGAGGCCGGAATGGTTCGACAGGGTATTGAACCAGTGACAAAAAAGGCAGAAGACATATCAACCTGTCAGAAGTTGTTCGTGGTCTAGAAGAATATACCTTTAAAATGTTTTTGTCTCTTAAGAAATAACACTTTTGTCCCCAATAAGGATTATTTATAATAACAGACACATTTTTGGATCAATGCCTCGAACATTTCATGCATAATTCATTAAGACATATTTTACATTTTGCTATTTTCATTTCTTTACATTCGCATTAACTAACAGAAGAATATCTCTTCAAAAAGGGAACAAATACTGGATATACCACCTCAAGCATTGGACACACCCCATCCACATAACACCCACTCAAAAAAGAAAAAAGATGGAAGTAAAAATCGCTCATCGCTCAGCTCGAAGAAAACAAGCTAAGGCTGCAAAGAGAGTTAGAAGATAAGATAAACCAGAATAATCAAAGTACTCTGAATATGATTATTAAGAGCCAAGAGTCCTTGGTCGATCAGATTGTTTCCAAGTTAGCTGGCTTACATCAGACAAGTGTGTATGGGGCAGGTTCATCGGAAGAGGTAACTATGCCACCTACCCCGCAAATGGTTATTTCACCTGAAATCTTACCAGGACTTCAATGGGACTCATCTGCTACAAAAGTGAAGGCCTCGTCTACTGTAAGGATACAGACTTCTGTATCTAACCCTGAGAATAATTTGAGTGATTACCATATACCAGATTTGGACGAAGAGGACAAGGAAAAGAAGATGGAGGAGAAAATCAAGCAATTGGAGTACCAAATGAAGGTAGTTAAAGGAAACCATGACTACTATAGAGTCAATGCAGCGGAAATTAGTCTAGTCCTAGACTTGGTTCTTCCTCCGAAATTTAAGTCCCCAAAATTCAAAAAGTTTGACGGGAATAGTTGCCCATCGGCTCACATCACCATATTCTATCGAAAGATGACAGGATACGTAGGAAACAACTAACTTCTGATCCATTTCTTCCAGGAGAGTCTCTCGGGTTCAGCCATCCGATGGTATAATCAGCTAAGTCGATCCCATATCAATACTTGGAATGATTTAGCCAAGTCATTTTTGGAACAAAACAAACACGTCAATCACATGAGGCCAAATCGAGTTATGCTACAAAGCATGGAGAAAAAGCATAACGAAAGTTTCAGACAATACACACAAAAATGGAGAGATTCAGATGTGCAAGTTCATCCACCCTTGGACGAGAAAGAAACTCGAAAGATCTTTATGAAAATATTGAAGGCTTCTTACTTCGGGCACCTAGTTGTAATCACACCCGGTAATTTTTCGGACCTAGTCATGGCCGGGGAGATGGTAGAAACGACCATAAAGCCAGACAATTGAGGAAGGGGAGGCAAGCAAGAAATCTCCTATTAAGAAGAGGGATGGAGAGATTAACAACTTTAATAGCTGCAACACTAATAAAGGTGTTACAATCTCCAGCCCAAAATCAACTGCAGCCGTCAGGTACTTATAGACAAGATTCCAGAGAGCCTAAGAAGGGAAGGGAAAGGGAACATTTCAGCCATATTCCCATGACCTACAAAGAACTTTATCAACAACTTTTTGACACCCACATAGTGTCACCATACCCGGTGGAACCCATGAAGCCCTCATACCCCAGGTGGTATGATGAGAATGCCCATTGGGAATATCATGGCGGTGTCCCAAGGCACACTATTGAGAACTGTTATGCATTCAAGAGAATTTTGCATAAGATGTGTAACAATAATTGGATCGAATTCAACAACTCGAGGACAACCAAGTGAGGAGGAAGATTATTTCATCATTTGCAACATTTTGTTTGAATTTGTTTTTCATCTTTTCTCAAGTTTTTTTGTAAGAACATTTAAATGAATTTATGCTACTTTAAATATGGTGAGTAATGTATTAAATTTGCAGACTTGGAATTCTTTGAATATTAGCTGAATTAAAAACTCCGTAAATGATTCAAAGTTACAGATCTTTGATAAAGTGACATAATTAAAAGCCGATAAAACAAAGGACTTTGACCTTACCCCATAAGATATGCTCGAACACGCACCATTCTCTTACAAGAACTGATATAGCCTTCTCCTCTCATAAGAGAAAGAACAAAAGGCTTGGTATTTAGGTAAGTATATGAGTAGACAACATGGGGCGTCTTTTGCATATAACATTATTATACTTTTGTTTAAGATGTTCAATGATGATCATGATCTTTACAGATGGAATAGTCAAGTAGGTGAATTTCATTCAGGTATGTTACTTGGAAATTGACTCTAAAGATGAGATTTCTTGACTTTCAACAACACCTAGACTATAACAGGCTCTTTTTGACAAACTTAAGAAATTGGATCCGTATACCCAGGTTATAATATTATATGTATACAATAAAGCTCGAGTTGTCCCTCCAGAGCAATTGGTTAAACGCCTCGGCTTTATGGATAAGATTCAGCTAGCCTGATAAAGGTGATTATAATATATATACAATAAAGCTTGACCTATCCCTCTAGAGCAATTGGTTAAACACCCCGACTTTATGGATAAAATTCAGCTAGCCTGATAAAGGTAATTATAATATTGAGTTGTCCCTCTAGAGTAATTGGTTAAATACCCCGACTTTATGGATTCAGCTAGCCAGACAATGGCAAATTAAATCAAATTTATCTAAATAAGGAGTTTCAATAAAGATATACTAAGGGAGTTAAGGAATACCTGTTATAGTCAATTTCACACGAGCACTCAGGAATTTCATCTTTAGACCGATATTTCGACACTGCCTTTGTTAGAGGAGCCTACGAAGCTTGAACAAATGGAAGATTTCAGAGAACCGAAATAGAAGGTCTAGTAATTGATTATGCTAGTTGTGTTATTTTGTCCGCGTCCGATTAAAATGCCAAGCCGAGAAAGATGGGCATGTTGCGATGTTCGAAAAAAGAAATGACATTTTGGTGGCCGAAACCTTAGAAATTAGGAAGCCAACATGAATCCAGCTCATCAATTTGGATATTTGTCAAAGAGCTATAACTCTAAAAGTAGTAAAGAGCTACTGATTCTTTTGATTTTCTGTGATCTCATGTTTATGATTTGATTCGATTGTGAGCCTGATTTAAGAGGCAATGTTTTACAAAATTCTTATATTCTCATATCCTTTTTCCCTCCTAAAATAAAAGAAATGAGAAAAACATTTTCAAACAAGACAGTCTCAAATGTGAAAAGTCCTGGAAGCTGTTGAGGCTCATTTTGCCTCTATTAAAGAAAGAATAAACAATGCCAAATTTTGAGTATTTCACATTCTTGAAAGAAATCAGTTCGAGTGATTAGACAGAACTTGTAACACTCCCTTGTGACATTGTCAGCAACCCGAGAAGAAAATAAGGCATGATCGATTCCAAGGACCAGATCGGCATACAAAGAACGAGACTCCATCCAGGAGATAAAACAGAACTAATTCTTGTTGCATGCATCTTAGACATACTTAAGAGCATCACATTTATCATTTTTTGCATACATATTTTTTGCAGCTTTTAGAGTCAAGTTTCGACTTCAAGACGAAAGATACTCTATTCAAAAGAACCTTTAAATATCAATGGTGGTTGATTAACTCAGCAGAGAAAAGCTACACCTCAACCAACTTGACATATTAAAAGATCTTATAATCAACTTCAGACGGGTTCGAGAGCCCAGTTCAGAACGGATCCAATTCAACTTAACTCAACGACGAGTGGCTAGTTTCCAATTAACGTTATCAAACCAGATTTCAACTCCACGATGGATTATATCCGGCTGACAGAATTTACCACTTGGCTTTCCCGTGAAGGGGAGTCATCCAAAGAATTATGATCGGTTTAGACCCGCGAAGGGAGGCCATCATTCATTTAGAGGAAATTTACACCACAACTTAAGCCGAGAAAAATTGTGTGTCAACAAACAACTCTCCAGTTTCATTCAAAGTCAATTTCAACTTCACAACGAAAGATATTAAATTCGAAAGCAATTTAATTTTGGATTTCAACTTCACAACGAAGGACATCCTATTTAAAGCTCAACTTCACAGCGAATGAGCCATCCACGATTTCAATCTCACGACGAAGGATATCGTGCCCAAGTGGACTGACTTAGTTTCACAGCAAATGAGTCATTTGTAACAATAGAGGGTTATCTCCCAGTCTATTACAGTATAACTCAAGGCGAGAAGGGCTATCTGTCAACAAAACCTTCGAGTTCGGTTACATTCAGCTCAAGGACCTATCAAATTTACAGTATAACTCAAGGCGAGAAGGGCTATTTTTCAATAAAACCTTCGAGTTCGATTATATTCAGCTCAATAACCTATCAAATTTACAGCATAACTCAAGGAAAGAAGGGTTATCTGTCAACCAAAACCTTCGAGTTCGATTACATTCAGCTCAAGGACCTATTAAATTTACAATATAACTCAAGGCGAGAAAGGCTATCTGTCAACCAAAACCTTCGAGTTCGATTACATTCAGCTCAAAGGCATATCAAATTTACAGCATAACTCAAGGCGAGAAGGGCTATCTGTTAACAAAAACTGTCGAGTTCAATTTCATTTAGCTCGATGACATATCAACCGCATGGTAGCAGCAAGGAACTACTTTCCAGTTGAAGTTTAAAACGAGGTATTTAAGTCAAGAGGAAGATCTGGAGCAATCTCTCATCTTAGTACAACATAACTCAGGGCGAGAATGGTTATCTGTCAACAAAGACTTTTGAGTTCGATTTTATTTAGCTCGAGGGCATATCAACCACATGGTAGTGTCGAGAAACTACTTTCCAGTCGAATTTTCAAACCAAGGTCTTTAATCTGAGAAAAAGATCGAAGTTGACTACAATTTGACAACAAGAAACCACATTCCGATTCAAATTCCGAACTACAACTTCAATTTCATATCATTTCGAGACGAATTCGACTTCACGACAGAGGAGTCATCCACAACTCAATTTAACAGGGAGTTATTCCTAATTGCAATATCAGAGTCAATTTCAACTCTACAAAGAAGGATATTAGACTCAGAGACCCCTTCATACCGAACAAAAATTTGTGTCCTTTTATCTTTGTCCTATTTTTCGATCCATGATTAAAGACAAATAGGGGCAACTCTAGACACTAATTTTCGTCTGAATTTTTTAATTTAATTTAATTTAATTTATATATATATATATATTAATATAGTATAATTTTTAAAAATATTTTTAAAAATTATAATATATAATTTTTTAGAAAACAGTTTTTGAAAACATATAATATATTGTTTACAAATCGGTTTTTAAAAATATATATTATATAGCATTGAAAATGATTTTTGAAAAAATATATATATTATATAGTTTTCAAATGATTTTTAAAAATATATATATAATATACAATTTTTGAAAACATTTTGAAAATATATATAATATATAGTGTTTGAAAATATTTTAAAAAAATATATATAATATATAGCTTTTGAAAACATTTTAGAAACTTATATAATATATAGTTTTGAAATCATTTTGAAAACTTATATAATATATAGTTTTAAAACATTTTTGAAAACATATATAATATATAGTTTTAAAACATTTTTGAAAACTATATAATATATAGTTTTCAAAACATTTAAAATATATATATATAATATATAGTTTTAAAATATTTTTGAAAATATATATATTATATAGTTTTTGGAAATATTATATATATATGTAATATATTATTATTATTCGTTTTTATTATTTTTGTTTTTTTATTATTTTATTAACGTTTTTCTTTTTTATTATTTTTTAGATCCAATGAGGGTCCAAGACAAGGCCTACTTGACCCAGCAGGCCAAGGACGGGTAAAGCCCAACAATCTGAGCCCAACTGTCTGACCTAACAGTGGCTAGGGTTACCTTCTTAGCAGAGGCGCCGCATGTGAGAGGCTTGAGGGGCACGTAAGGACCACGCACTAGTCAAAGCACGGGAAAAGGCCGGTCGATCAACTAACAACCCACAACTCCGAGATCATCGAGACCCAAATGGCCCCTTCGAAGGCTATAAAAGGGAGTCTCGTCAGAGAATCAAGAAGAACACAACAACATAACCAAGATTGGGGAACAACAACATCGAACCACGGTTAAAACACAAATCAGAGAACCATAAACAACCAAACACGAGAACAGACAACAACAAATATACCCAAAAAAAACAATAGCCAAGAACAAACCACCAAAAATCGAACCACATCACAAGCATACAAAGAAAGCAATCATCGAAAAAATCAAGGATTAACATTGATGTTGGCTCAGGAAAAGAAACAACCACCAGAAGTCGAACCATTCGTCGGGAAAGGTAAAAACTGAGAAAGTAAATCCTAGATCTACGTCGATTTGTAGGGATTTTAGGGATTTGGGTTGTGGTTTCGATTTCTTGGGGTTGAGGGCTTTCGAAAGAGGTGAGATGGTTTTTTCGGTCGCCGCTCGTGACGGTCTGGGCGACGGTTTGCCACCGACGGGTGGCCGGAGGTCAGTCGACTTAGGAAGGAAATGATAGGATTTAAGAGAAGGGTTTTTTTTTTTTAAGAAATGAGATTAAAATGATTTTTTTTGGTTTAGAGGTATATATAGTCGAGGGAACTTGTTGTAATTAGCTAATAGTTAAATTATTTTTGCAGTCCCTATATTTTTGAAGTGTAATTCATTTTGGTCACCTATTTCAATTTTGCCTCTAAATTGTTAATTTATTTAATTTAATCCCTGTTTATATTTTTTATATTTTACAAATTAACCCCCTAATTTTATTTTTTTTCTCTTGTAGTTAACTTTTAGCATTAATTTCAGTCCATAAATTCCAATTTAATTCAATTTGATCCCTTTTTATTTATTTATGTTTCGGTTTTTTTTGTTAATATTTATTTTCTTAACATTTTTCTATGTTTATTTTTTTATTTCAAAATTTGACCCTTTTTATTTTTTATTTTATTTTTATTTTTTCTTTTTACTCAATTTTATTTATCAATTTTATTTATTTTATTATTATTATTATATTAATATTTTTTCTTTTTTCATATTTTTCATATTTTATTTTTTACATCTAACAATATTCTTGACTTTTTAGGGGATTTTTAATCAATCGAAGGTAATTAATATGAATAAATTTCAATTTTAATTTCAAATTTTCGCAATTAAGACAACCGACAAATTAATTGGTATCGAAAGGGCAGTACAAGGGTGCTAATCCTTTTCTGACTATAACTGACTCCTGAACTCGACATATTTATGGTAAAACACAGATTAGGTAAGATGGTGTCCGATCAGCCTAAATATTTTTTAAAATGATCAGTGGTGGTTCTAACACTTTTATTTCAAGTCGAAGCCCAATTTCGGGCCCACCCGATAGATGACTGCGACACTTGAATTTGAAATTTTTTTGAGTCGAGTTGATTTTTTGAGTTTATGTTTAAATTTAATTATAAATATTTATAATATTATAATATTATTTGATTTCAATTTAAGTGACTTTCTATAACCATATATACAATACAAATATATTTCTTCATAGTTTTTTATATATGATATACATATATCATACAAAGTCCAAAGACTCGAGTAAAACTTAAAAAAATCCACTAATTATTAAAATTTTCAAGTTATTCGAGTTGTATTTTACAACTGGATTTGAATTTGAAATTTTTCCAACTTGAGTTTATGATATTGCAACTCAAACTCAATTCGAGTCAACTTTTTTCAAGTCAAATTGAGCCGAAAATTTTGGTTTTTGAATCGAGTTGAGTTTTGCTCAACCCTAAAGGTTTTTATCTCTAGAGGTCTCGGATTCGAGCACCAATGATTATTATATGAACTTTCATTATCAAATGATTGAATTTTTAGAAGAGATATTGTCACTTATAATCACCCTAGATTAATAAAAAAAAATGTAAATAGGGGTAGTTACGGTTGATTCGAGTCAAATTTTTAGTCTTTTGATTTAATTTTTTTATCCGTACTCAACTTGAGTTGGGTTTAGAATGATTTCGTCCGATTCAAAATTTGATATGATTTTTAGGTGAAATATCGCATTCACACTAGATTCGACTTGACCGACACAAATATATATATCAGATCATATCAAATTTTTTCAATCTAAACCAATTCCAATTCCTTTAAAAATATCGGATACGATCTAATCCGAAATAAAAAACAATTAATCAAACGAGTTAAGCTCAAACCTGTCGGGCTCGGGACAAATACCCATCCCTAGATTCAGTAGTCGGACCAGTTTGCCAAGGCCCAAGCGGCCATCTCAATAGGGATGATGGGGGTGCCCTGCCATTGTTAGGAGTTATTCTTGAAGCGATCGTGATTATGTTTGTGCTGAGCTTATGATATGCTTTGTTATATTCACTACTTACATGCCCCATTTAATGTTGTGTCGGTGGCTTGATGTTCATTTTCACGAAGAACTAAGTGTATTGTATTTTTTTCATCTCTTGATGGATTCTTCCTTGTTCACTATACTCATTTTTGTTGACAGTGCTTAGTTTTACTTGGTGTAGAAATTCTTGCAACAATATTTTAGGTGGCCCCAAATGTCCATCTATGGTTTCTACTTAAAGTAGCCATCTAATGACAGTTTTTGTCCTGCAAATAGTACTAAGGAAGGTAGACACAGGATCATAGCTGATCCCCTTGATTGAATTTGGTCTCTTGCTTGATTAATGCTTCTCTCGTTTCAAGGTTTATGTAGTAGTTTTAATTGCCTAGGAGTTGCATATACAGTTTGACATCCTCTGCTGACGGATTCATTAGTGTTTAAACATTATGTGGATAATTGTGATGATTCTAAAGGTGTGGATCAATCTTGTTGCATCTATACAAATTTTTGGTTGCACGTGATGACCTACATGACCTAACACCTTGTATGGACAATTAATTATGCTAGATTTTCCTTTATGGACATGAAAGTGTTTAATCCTCTTGTATTATGATTGTTAAATGAAATCCTTCCCATTAAAAATGAAGTGTCGCTTCCCTTTATAGGTATATGAAGTTACTGATTATTTGGATGAGCATCCAGGAGGTGATGATGTAGTGCTTGCTGCAATAGGTGATACTCTCATGCGTCCTGACTCTGATAATTCTTTTATTTAACTTTCCGCCCAAGAGTGTCCGGATTATGAAATTATGAATCCTCTAATGACATGTTATCTATAATTTTACTTGAAGGGAAGGATGCAACGGATGAGTTTGAAGATGCTGGACACAGCAAAAGTGCAAAGGAGCTCATGCAGAACTTTTGCATTGGCGAGCTTGACACGTCTGCCCCAGTCATCCCAGAACTTGAAATTTCCTCCAAGAAGGAAACCAAAAATTACTCTGGTAATCTCATGGACTTAACAAAGCAATATTGGGCTGTTTCTGTGGCAATCGTCGGTTTCTCCGTGGTGGTTGGTCTCTTATTCCTGCGAAGAAAGTAAATGAATTTGGTTTTTTCCGTATTGGCTACTGAAAGGGAATACTTCCCCAAATTTTGAATAATTAGATGGATAATGAATTAGAACATTTAGCCATTGGTAATTTTGAAATCTGAAGGTAGGGTTTCTTCATTCATCACCTTCCTTAGAATACATGCATGACAGGATTGGAAAACAGGGAAAATACTTGTATTAATACAAGGGGGAGGACTTATTGGCACTTTTGTCTGTTTTGAATCAGTTAAATGAGCTTGAGGAGATATAGCAATGGTGATTTTGTGAGTATATGACCCTGAATAATAAAGTACTAGTTCATTTCCTTATGATTAGTTGGCATCAAAAGGAAAGTCACTGGCAAACTCGAATTTATCTTCCTAGAAATATAGCAATGGGGGAAAAAGAGATTCCTTTTAATCTTTGGAACATAATTGATTGGATTTTTGTTGAGCACCCAACTCAATGCCTTATTTTTCTTATAAAGCTTAAAAGTAGTTTAAAATCTTATCTTCTAAGAATATGCCATTTTTTGGAAGCAGTTCAATAATGCGTTTGTTATGAACAGTTTATTGTACTACACTCCTTTAGCTGAAGAGATCTTCCACTAAACATTTACTCACTTTCTCTCCTGCAATAGGAACTTAAAGCTACAGCTTTTGCTTGAATGTCATCTCTAAGAAATGTAATCAGAAAGCACTTTTCATTTGAAGTGTTGATTTTTATTTGCCATCCTGCTTTAGAACAGATGTATGTAACTTTGATCCATGCAAAATGGAAATTGTCAGTCTGTCACATTTTCATCATCCATGTCTATGAAGATCCGAACTTATATTACTTTTCCCTTTCTTTACAAAATAGAGTCCAAATTTCCTCAAATATAAAATAAAAGGAAAACCAGAATAAAAGATAAAAGAAACATGATCGAATTGAGGATGAGGATGAGGATGAACGGGTTGCGAAACCCTCCTACTTGGGAAATTGAAGACCATCCAGTTTTGATGCAGCTGGTTTGTCCAAAAACCATACCAACTTTCCTTTTGTTGGTTGGACTAACCGTGCGGGGAGTGGCTGGCAGTCATGTCCAATATAGTCGATCGCCAAATGCACAGCCTCTGCTTTGTTCTCACTGGTCACAACCATTGCTACGTTTGATGCTGAATTGATGACAGGCAAAGTGAATGTTATCCTCTCGGGTGGAGGCTTGGGGGAACCGGCGACGAAAGTTACCCATTCATCGGTCTCGTCGAGTGCCGAATGATTGGGGAATAGTGAGACAATGTGGCCTTCAGGTCCCATGCCAAGAAGGATAAGATCAAACTCGGGGCAGTCACTAATGTCTGAAACACTAACCATTCGTGTTTTCACCAGCTGCCTGATAACGAACATGTAATCATCAGCAGCTTCCTCTGCTGAAACTGAATCATTGATAGGATGAACATGGCTGGGAACAATCGGCACCTACAAATACAAGATATCAGAACGAAAACATCATCTTCTGCTAAAAACAAGTGCCTTACCTTTGAAAAATGGTCGTCCTTTGCAAGCTTGTAATTGTTATTAGAATGGTTTTTGGCCACAACACATTCATCCGCCCAAAATATATACCATTTAGACCAGTCTACAGTCTTGTTATAAGGTGCTTCACAAAGTTTGCTTGTTTTCCCACCACAAAAAGAAATTTTAAAGAACGCCCAAATCACATGAAACAGAAAGAAAAATGATCCAAAGATGGAAAAGGAATGAATTGATACCCCATTAAGTGAATGAGAGAACCACCAGACAATGCAATAGAAAAGGCACCTCTCTCCTTCACTGCTGCATCTGATAACTCGGCAATATAATCAGCTAAATTCGTCCTTAGTTCATCCAAATATTCAAGAATCCTCAATTCTCCTCTGTCATTATTAACCTCTGAAACAGCCATGCTTTTCACTATTTTACCAACCCAATTGCAAAACCAAAAAAACTCACAGTTAGAAGAGCAAAAGTTAGTAAAACCACTTTCTTCAAATGAAAATGTAGCAGCACCGATAAAGCATTTAACTTTTGCAGCTCGCAAAATTTTCTTATGGATATGCTGTTGCTGTTGCTGATGAAGCTGTTGTTGATGAAGCGGTGATGGATGATCAGAATCCGATGCACCAGTTATGGAGGAGTTGAAGGATACTCAATCAGGTGGTATGATTTCTTATACTAGTATGGTTGCAAATAATCAATCTAGGGCAGAAGGAAAAGATCCTGTTGATGGGTTTAAAAATCTCAACGCCTGTTGTTCGTAACATGGCCTATCCGAATAAACGCTCATTCAATATTTTTATGAAGGATGCTTCCAGTAGAAAAGAATAGTAGATGCTGCTAGTGGAGGTACTCCCTTCAACATGACTCCAGAAGCGGCGAGTATTTTAATTTCCACAATGGTTGTTAATTTACAACAGTTTGCCTTCTTAAGTGAACCCAGCCGACGGGTTCCTAAAGTTAGTGATGTTTCACTTGAAAATAAAATCGAAAAGTTAACTGATATAGTTAATTCTCTCATTTCAGGAAAAGTTAGAGCAGCAAAGGTATGCGGGATATGTATGATGTCGAATCATTTGACAGATTGCTGCCCGATGCTACATGAAGAGTCAAGTGCGCAAGTAAACGCCATGGGTAATTTTCTGGGACCTCCTTAGGGGCCTTACAACCTATACGGCAACACCTTCGATTCGGGATGAATGGACCATCCGAACCTCAGTTACGGTAATAATCAGAGAGCAAATCAAAATTACAAACCAAGACCCCCTCCATTTCCTCCTCAACATCCACAAAAATATTTGCTAGAGTCGATAGTTGAGAGATTAGCCTTGTCACAAAAATCAGTTATGGTAAAAACCCATGCTCATTTTCAAGAATTAGACAAATAAATAAGCCAATTGGCTTAAAAAAGAGAGCGACATAATGCCCAAAAAGAAAAATGAAGCCAATCCAAGGGAGAATATTAGTGTGATAACTCTCCGAAGCGGTACCGTCATTTCACCTGAAATCCTAAATGAGAGTGACATAATGCCCAAAAAGAAAAATGAAGTTGAAACGCCACCCCCTAACTTAGGTAATCACTCATCTTCTTCTTCTCATTCGCCTTACAAAGTTTCGCCTTCTTTTCCTTCTAGATTGATGAAGCGAAATAAGAAAACAGAAGAGAAAGAGATCCTAGACATATTTCAAAAGGTGGAAATAAATATTCCACTTTTGAGGTGATTCAGAAGGTGACCCAATACGCCAAGCTCCTTAAAGATCTTTGTACGAACCAAAGATAACTCACTGAAAACAAGAATGTTTCGACGGTTTTCCAAAAACATCTTCCACCAAAGTACAAGGACTAAGGTATGTTCGCCATACTTTGTAAGATTGGCGAGGTTGGGATTAAGTGCACCATGTTCGATTCGGGTGCTTCGATCAATATGATGCCTATTTCAGTCTATAATATGAACCGAGCCGTTAAAAGAAACAAGGGTCATGATATAGCTTGCCGATAGATCAGTTATTTACCCCGAGGGTGTCCATTAAAATGTTTTGGTAAAGGTAAATGACTTAATTTTTCATGTTGATTTTTATATAATTGACATGAAAAATAATCGTAGCAATATTGGATCCAAAATTCTCCTCAGTCGACCCTTCCTCAGTACGGAAGATTGACGTCCGAAGCAGTAATTTAACAATGAAATTTGACGGCGAGATCGTTAAATTTGACGTATACAAAGCTATGAAATATCCAAATAGTGTGGCGAGCTTAAATTTTATTAATGTTATAGATCCATTGGCCGATGAATTCTTGGAAAGTAATTTGTTTAATGATCTTTGTAGAAATTGTAAAATGAGGACTGCGCCAACTAGATCAGAAAGTTTGAAGAATTTTTTTCTACTTATTCTGATTTTCGTTTAATGCTTTATAAATCTAAAATTCTTCTTTCTATTATGCCCTGCACCTAAACATGAACTGAAACAATTGCCGACATATTCAAAGTACACATTTTTGGGACAAAATACTACTTTACCAGTAATCATCTCAAATGAACTATCAAGTGAGGAGGAAGAGAATCTAATCGTTGTTTTACACACAAACAAGGAGATGATTGGGTGGTCTATAGCCAACATCAAGGGGCTTAGCCCATTTACGTGTATGCACAAAATAAAGACCGAAGAAGGCACAAAACCGACAAGAAAAGGACAACGTCGCTTGAACTCAGAAACTCCTTGTGCTAGTATAATTCTCCCAATTCAGACAGTAATTGGGCAAGCCAGATTAACGTTGTTCCGAAGAAAACCAGGGTCACAGTAATAGAAAACTCAGAAAGCGAGATGGTTCCGACATGGGTGCAAAACGGGTGGAGAGTTTGTATATACTATAGAAAATTGAATTCGTCAACCCGAACGGATCGTTTCCTTCTTCCCTTTATTGATCAAATGGTTGAAAGATTAGCAGGGAAATCTAATTATTGTCGCCTTGATAATTTTTTAGGTTTTTTCCAAATTTCGATAGCTCCCAAAGTGTAATACCCCAAATATCAGGTTAGGGACTTTATTGAAAAGATTTGAAAATTTAAAATTTATTTGAATAAGTGGTAAAAGATGAGGAAATGATTTGGAATAATGTTTAGACTAAATTGTAACAATATATAAATTAAGAAGGCACTTTGGCATTTTAAGAGGAAAAACGAATTTAAAATATATGCCTTATTAGGGATAGTAAAGGGGAAAAGAGGAAAGTAAGTTCTTTCTATTCTTCTTCTTCTTTACTCACATAGGTAGTGCACTCCTCTCTAGCATAAGATCGTAATCAAACTCTTGAATCTAGCAAGAAAAAGGGGAAGGATAAAATTGTTGATTAGCCAGGCATCTCTACACCTTATTAGCGGGGATTATCAGGTGAGTACATTTTTTGTAATTATTTGAGATGAATAAAATTTGCAATGATTCAAATTAGAATGCTTTAAGTTAATGTATGTTTTATAGTAATTAATATGTTATCATTATAAGTATGGAAAGGATATTATGAATGAGTTTCTGATTATGAATGAGTTTCTGATTATGAATGAGTTTCTGAGTATGAACTGCTCTAAAACGAATTCATAACTAAAATGCATGAAAGGATGCATTAAGGCATGAAAGGATGCATTAAGGCATGAAAGGATGCCATAACTAAAATACATGAAAGAATGCATTAAGGCATGAAAGGATGCCATAACTAAAATGCATGAAAGGATGCATTAAGGCATGAAAGCATGCCATAACTAAAATGAATGAAAGGATGCATTAAGGCATGAAAAGATGCCATAACTAAAATGCATGAAAGGATGCATTAAGGCATGAAAGGATGTCATAACTAAAATGCATGAAAGGATGCATTAAGGAATGAAAGGATGTCATAACTAAAAATTTAAGAATAATTACTAAAGAAAAAAATGTACAAGAAAGAAATGTATGTTAGACATACTAAGGATGTTTATGATAATAGTATGAAAGAAATTTGGTTTCAATAATAAGGACTTGTCTAATCCTTATGGATGATACGAATGAGTTTGAAATCAAATTACATGATATGCTTAAGTATACATTATTGTTTCTTTACAATATTATGTCTCACTAAGTACATATTTAACGTGTATTGATTTCACGCGTAGGTAAAGGCAGAGATTAACTGAGTAAAGAGTGCAGTTGTAGCAGCGGTGATCATCAATTAAAGTTGACTCATCAGTAACAGTAGGACAATCCAATTTATTTTGGAAAACTTATTTGGCATGTAATTAAAGTACTAAAAATTCTCTGAATTTTAATTAAGTAGAACTTTGTAATTGATTACAATCAATGTTTTGCTTTATCTTAAAAATGTTAGATGTTAAGAAATCGAAAAACAAAATTTTTATGGGTTTTCAAATGAGGAACTATTTTAAAAGTGATGTGACATTCGTATATCATGTACGAAAAGGTATACAGGAGATGGGTGTTACACAAAGACCATGAAAAAATAACGTTTGCTTTCCCTTTTGGAACTTTCGCCTACCATAGAATGCCTTTCAGACTCTCAACGCACCGATGACATTTCAAAGATGCATGTTAAGCATTTTTTCCAAATATGTCGAAAAAGGTATTGAGATATTTATGGATGACTTTACAATCTATGACAATTCTTTTGATCAACGCCTTTTTAATCTTACTAATGTGATTAAACGTTGTATTGAGTTTAATTTAGTTCTTAACTATGAAAAATGTCATTTCATGGTAAATAAAGGACTAATTCTTGGGCATGTTGTTTCATCTAAAGGAATTGCGGTAGATAATGCAAAAAATTAACATAATATGCTCACTTCCATACCCCACTTCGATGAAGGAGATCCATTATTTTCTTGGTCATGCAGATTTCTACTGTAAATTTATCAAAGACTTCTCCAAAGTGCGCAACCATTGTGTAGATTGTTGCAAAAAGACGTTCCATCTGATTTTAACCTGGAATTCAAGGAGTCCTTTATTTGTGATAAAGAAATTTTGCTCATATTTACTTTGTACTAAAGAAATTTGCGATTGTTTTTGCGTTAAAAAAATTTCGCTCGTATTTACATGGTACTAAAATGTTGTTTTTCCTGATCATGCAACGCTGAAGTACTTGATGAGTATAAAGGAGGCAAAGCCAAGGTTAATCCGTTGGATTTTCCTTCTTTAAGAATTTAATTTGGAAATCGATAACAAGAAGGGGAGCAAAAATTTGGTGGCCGATCACTTAAGTTAATTTCTGATCACCACGGTTGAACTGTCGATCTGAGAAGAATTCCCATAGGAAAGCTCGATGTTGGCACAAAAATCAACCCTTAGTTTGTGGACATGGTGAATTATTTAGCCATGGGTAAGTTACCGATTGATTTACCAAGAGCAAAAATTAAGCAAATTAAGCGAAAATCTCGATTTTATATTTA